CTAAGACTGAAAACAATATAGAGTATCTTCTAATGACTCATTCACAAGGAAGTCAAAAGAAAATTGTAGAAGAACTTTCCTCTTTCTCCTCAGGCTTGTACCATACTTACATTCGACCTTCTATTAATCATGTTGCATTGAGCTTGAAATTTAAAGACCCAAATTCATTTAAATTATGGCATGAGCGATTGGGTCATCCTGGGCTTAGTATGATGCATCGAATTATTTCTAACTCTATTGGGCATAGCGTATCAAGCAACAATCTCCCTTCTTTTAATGAATTTATTTGTGATGCTTGTGCAAAGGGAAAATTAATATTGAGACCTTCACGTACTAAAGTTGGAATTGAATCTTCTACGTTCCTTCATAGGATTCAAGGTGATATATGTAGCCCTATTCATCCCACTTCGGGACCTTTTCGATATTTTATGGTATTGATAGATGCTTCCACTCGATGGACATATGTGTGTTTATTGTCCACTAGAAATCAGGCTTTTCCAAAGCTCCTTGCTAAAATTATTGAATTAAGAGCTCAATTTCTGGATTATCAAATTAAAACTATTAGAATGGATAATGCCGGTGAATTACATCGAAAGCTTTTGATGATTACTATGTCACTGGGCATCAAAGTGGAGCATAAGGTACCTTATGTCCACACGCAAAATGGTCTAGCCGAATCACTTATTAAGCACATCAAATTAATTGTTAGACCATTGTTACAAAATTCTAACTTACCAATTTCATGTTGGGGACATGCAATTTTACATGCTGCTGCCCTAATTCAAATCCGACCTACTGCATATCATGATTACTCCCCTTTACAACTAGTGCGTGGTAAAGAACCTAATATTTCCCATCTGCGAGTATTTGGTTGTGCAGTCTATGTTCCCATATCACCACCACAGCGTACCTCTATGAGCTCTCATAGAAAGCTAGGTATATATATTGGCTACGAATCTCCGTCTATTCTAAAATACCTAGAGCCCATGACTGGGGATCAATTTACAGCTAGGTACGCTGACTGCATATTCGATGAAGAGAAATTTCCGACATTAGGGGGAGAT